AAACAAACAAATTCCAAACTACGAGTGACAGAGAACAAAAAACCACGAAATTACAAAAGGGCAGGCGCGATAAAGAAATGAAGTTTGCCAAACGGGTAGCTGAAAGTTTGACACATTAAATGAATATAATCGGGTAACTGTAGCTGCTGCGAGTTTCTGAACTGAAAGGGAAAGGAAAGCGGAATGTCGTTGACGGCCGACAGAAGTGGCTTGGGTACAACTAGGAAGTTGTACTAGTGCACTCACGTAGAACAAATTTTTTAAAAAAATCTAATTGGCCCAATTCTGCCACTTGAAGCAAGCGATTTAGTCGTCTGCCAATGTAGTCTGAATTCGGAAACCTGTCTGCCGTACACAATATCCGGTTATGTTCAAAATTATTCGTTCAAAAAGAACAATTTAAAATAATCGCACAGAGGCACGCGGGCATGCATGAATCTACTTCTGCACTGACTCGATGGATAATCAGTTAACTAATTGCGCGATGCTGTCGGTGATTTGTTTTCTGCAGGCTGAAGGTCCACCTGTCCTGACGACACTAAAATATTCAGGTATGCCCACAAAAAAGACTAAAAGTTCATTTAAAAAAGTTTAAAACTGCCATAAACTGACCTGAATTTCCCTGCAAATTTGCTGATTGGTCAGTAGTGGTCGACGGCACTGACTGAGCTGCTGGCGATACTGCCACAGTAGTATCTCCGCCGGAGCTTCTCTCTTCAGATCCAAGTGTAAGGCGCAACGGATCTTCCAATGGCAAACGAGATTCGCAATTAATAACTTCAACTGGTAAAGCAGGCGGCGAAGATGCTGACGTGGTCAGGTGCAATTCATTCTGCAATTTACAAAAGTATTTCAGAAAACAACCGGCATCTTACCAAAAAGTAGCTGTTCCTACGATGCTCTTCGACAAGGTTGCTACTTCAGTAAACCTAGGGCACTACGTAGATGTCATTTTTCTCTGTGTCCAGTAAGGAAATGCAAGACAGGAGGTTGAAGGGGGAGGGGAAAAAAGAGTGAAAAATCAGAGAGACTTTTCACTCCTGAGTCCCTGCATTCTTTCATCTCCTCTCTCACAAGTGTAACACCGTTTGAAAAAATTTTATACGCTTTTCCTCACAGATCGGAGACCAACTAAAAGCAATCGACCAATTACTGGTCGCAGTGATGGACAAAACTGCTTACTGGTCGACATATCAGATTAGCATCTCACATATCTGTTTCCTAATAAAATAACTCTCATTTCAAGACAGTTCGCGCAGAGGCCCAGACCGCTGCATTAGTGGGCTTTTCCTGGATCTGTTCTGGATAATCGTGTAAATGCACTAACGCCTCTTCAGAACAATCAATCATCACAAAGACTGGCAAGCTTTTTAGCCGAAAGAAGAACACGCTATAGAAATCATCATTTTTTAAGATATTCTACAGTGTGCAATAATTCTGAAATTTACACAAAATGTACAAATTTACAAATTCGAAGACTCACAGTTGAAGTTTGTCTCGATGATGTTTGCGTCACATTTGGCTGCTCTGTTGATTTTGAAGCAGCAGTGTTCGAAGTAGGTACTCTTTCTTGATAACTACGGCGTCTTAACTTATCAATGGACAAAGTCGAAAAGGCTCTCGGATGAACCGAGGCCTGATTAATATCGGTACTGTCTACGTTCTTTGCAGGAATAAATGAAGACGACGCATTTGTTCTGCTACAGCTACCACCTCTAAATTCATTGAAAATAAATAAGCTTACGGAATGTAGGAAATCAGAGAAAACGGTGTCACTCCATGGGCGCCCTCAAATTAAAGAAGAGACCAGCTTACTTCGCAGAAATTGTCGTGCCCTTCCTTTTTTTGTATTCCTCCAACGATAACTTTTTCACTGACTTTTCATCGATCTCTCTGCTGTCAGAAATTGATGTTAAAGGTAATTCACTTTGCTTTTGTTTCCCAAAATTAAGTTCGAAATCGTTTAAAGTTTGAACGATCGGCAGTCCCATCAATTCACGGATAAATGTAGAGACATGGACTGCAACAGGCAAAAATAAGCGGTCACCAATCACGATAAGCCTTCCACATATGCGGCGAGACAAATGTTTTAACAACAGGAATGCATTAATCTCAAATACCTTCGCTTTCGGCGGCCAACGACGTCACAGTAGAAACCGTGGCGTTCTGTTCTTTTAAACCATCGACGTTGTCGCCCTTTTTACGGTACACATTCATCTTTTTTACTGCTGGCTCCAACCCAGCCGGTGAATGCGTGCCAGTGATTCCATCTAAAATTTCATAGCAATACCATGTCTCTCAGTTAACAGCGGCAGTGGATGAGAACGTTGTGTGATACTCACCAATCTACGAGTTAATATAACATGCAGAAGCGCACACTAGCATCATTCACACGAC